GTGCCCCCAAAAATATATAGACACGCACACAGGTATACTCACTGAGCAAGTAAGTATAATTAAGAACTACATTTTTTAAATGTCTTAGTAAATGTCCAGGCTCTTAGCTTCAGCAAAACAGATTGACACACAACTTTTTAAGTTGAAGAATAAAAACTTTTGAAATTGAGGTGAGCCAGATGGTGGTAGTGCACACCTTTAATACCAGCACTGGGGAGGCAGATGCAAGCAGGTCTCTGTGAGTTCAATACCAACCTGGTCTACAAATGGAGTTCCAGGACAGGCTCCAAAACTACACAGAGAAACTGTCTCAAAAAACCAAAAAGACAGGAGACAGAAATGAATGCACCCTTTAGTCAACATGCTCAGTACTCAGCTAGCCCTCATCTATCTCAAACCAGGGAATGGTACCACCCACAATTGACAGGGTCCTATATCAATTAACAATCAAGGTAACACATCACAGACACATCCACAGGCCAATATGCTTTACACAATTCCTCAGAGGAGACTCTGCTATTCTAGGTTATATCAAGTTGACAAAGCCAACCAGCAGAACAGCACCCCTGAATTAAAAAAAAAAAAAAAAAATTATACAACAATCTCATCTTACTTATTCCATTAAAATAAGAAAAGATTGAGACAGGTCTGAGTATGGCAATGTGTATACCTTTACAGATCTTTGTAAGTTCAAGGCCAGCCTGGGCTTCATGATGAGACACTGTCCTAAAAAAATAAATAAATAAAGATGATGATGATGATAAAAAACTGTTAAGGAGGGGCTCAGGAAGTAGTTTTGTGATAGGCAACGCCCTCAGTTCAATCCCTAACACCACAAAACAAAAACAAAAAATTCCAAAGTATATACATTATCAGGCTCAAGGAATATCCCTTGTATATCATTCTATTTCCCAACTTCTTTATTCACTATCATCAAAGATCTAAGAGATGGCAAAGGGAACTAGACAGCTTGTTTCTATTATGCAACCCATGCTGGCTCTAGAAAGAATGGGTTCAGCTTGTTCAGCAAACATTGACTGACTGTCTACTTCTGCCGCTTGGCTGGCACTGCCCCAGGGACTATGTTTGTCCTTTGGGTTCCAGCTAGCAGCCAGCAAAGGAACCCATCATGCAGACTGAAGGCGAAATCATGTAATGGAGTGTCACAGGCACTCACACAGAAAGGCAGGACTGTGCAGTCTGGACAACTGGCCAGTCAAGACTTCCAGGTGAAAGCACAGATGATGTCCTTTGGGTGATGGTGGTGGGGACACACACTCATCAGGAATCATCAGAGCACTGTTTGCTTAAGTGATGGAGTAAGCCTGAGAGAGGCTGAATTAGGCACACTACACCAGAGGATGCCTGAGGGCAAAGAGATCTGGACAGTTAGCTACCTCCAAAAGTCCTTTTAAATAGGAAGTTAAACAACTGGAACCTTCATGATGGCACAGCAGTTAAGAACCTTTGCTCTCAAGCCTGTGAGTTCTTCCATCCCTGGACCTATACAGTAGAAGGGGAGAACTGACTCTCAAAACTGACCTCTGGCTTGGCACACCTTTAATCCCAGCATTTGGGAGGCAAGGACATGTGGATCTCTGTGTGTTCCTGGCCAACCTGGTCTACAAAGTGAATTCCAGGACAGGCTCCAAAGCTACTCACAGAAACCCTGTCTTGAAAAACAAAAACAAGAGAGGAAGAGAGGAAGGAAGTCTCCCTCCCCCCAAAAAAGGAGCTGTAGATTGGAGATATAGCTGTGTTAATAACAATTACTGTTCTTCGAACTCCAGATCCACCTGCCTCTGCCTCCTTCAGCAAATCCTACCGGCCTGCGCCACCAGGACCGGCAACAATTATTGTTCTTATAGAGATTTGGTTCCCAGCATAGAACCATCTATAACTCCAGTTCAAGGGGTCCCAACAGCCTCTTCTGGCCTCTCAGGGCACTGCACACAAGTGATGCCCATAAATACATTTACACAAAACATTTATTCACAATCAAATACTATGTCTAAAATGCAAGAAAATAGTTACCTAAGGATGTCCACTATTGAATTATTCCTGTTTTTTTTGTTGTTGTTTGTTTCTTCCCCAACACAGGGTACCATAAAGCCTGGCCTCAAACTCACTATGTAGCTGAGGATGACCCTGAAGTTCTGATCCTCCTGCTGAAGGGACTTTGCCAGCTCAAGCATGGCAAATATGGCTCTGGCAGGCCTTGACCTTCTCTCTCATTCCCTCTGCCTTGCTAAAATCTTAACAGTATATTCCTGAAGCTAGCCACCAAGGACCATTCCCTTATTTGGCCACTTCCTCCTCCTGGCTGACTACCAAGGTTCAGCTATCAAAGTATTGAAGTCTAGCAATCAAGAGCCCCCTTTGTCTCACCTGATGAACATGCTCAATTAAAATTAAACACCACATCCTAACATGCTCCCCTCTTTTTTCCCTAATTTTTCAGATAGGGTTACTCTGTGTAGCTTTGGTTATCTTGGATAACCTCTGTAGACCAGGATGGCCTCAAACTCAGAGATTCCCCTTTCTGGGATTAACCTCCCGAGTGCTGGGGTCAAAGGTGTGAGCTGCCATCATCACCTGGCAGCCTTGAATGGTTTTTGTTTTTTGACTTGAGACAGTCTCACCATGCTGTTCAGGCTTCTGACTCTCTAGGCTCAAGTGATTCTCTTTCTTCAACCTCTCAGGCAGCTGGGGCTATAGGTGTGTATCGTCTCACACAGCTTTTGTCATGAAACAATTCTTAAAACATGAACTCACTCAGATGTCAAACATGCACCCTCTGCTGGGTTGGTAACCGAACACTCAGGGTTGAGGCATAAGGAACTTAGGAGACTCTGGAGTTGGCATGAGCTACAGATTAAGGTCCTATCTCAAAAACAGGAAGTAAAATATACCGTATGGCTCATTACAGGTGATCTAAACATGCACTGGGTGAAGAAATATTTGTATGAACTCAGAAAAAGTGTCTCATGGTACAGAGTTCACCAAACTGGTAAGGCCTAGGTTGCGGTGGATAGTAGTAGAGAGTTCAGTAGCTGACAGCTTCTCCAGCATGTGCCAGGCCAGATTCCATCTATCCCCAGCACCAAATATACAACAGGGGTTGGAGAGATGGCTCAGCAGTTTAGAGCAATGGCTGCTCTTCCAGAGGACCTGGATTCAATTCACATCCACACATGATATATCACAACAGTCTGTCACTCCAGGTGGCTCATCAAATGTCTCGAATGCTGGTTTCTAGTATCCTACGCCCTCTTCTGGCCTCTAAGGACACCAGGCACTCAAGTGGTACACAGACATACAGGTAGGCAAAACATACATAGAAAAAAACTTTTAAATATATAATCATAACAATAATAAGGATGATTATCTTCTAGAAAAAAATAACCATTTTTAAATATTTTTGTATTCTGTAGACTGGCAATGGATAAGCTTTGACACTGGGTATTGTTGGCTGGTAGAACTTGCTATGTGGACCAGGCTGGCCTTGAGCTCACAGAGATCCACCTGTTCTGCCTTCCAGGTGCTAGCATGAAAGGTGTTTGTCACACTTCCTTACTTTAATTTTTAAAAACTTATTTATTTATTGTTTGTGCTTGAATTTGTCTGTTCAGGTTGAAGATCTTGTGCACACTTGGAGGTCAGAAGAAGGAACTGTATGTCCTGCCTACCACTATGGCTAGTCCTCTAGAAGCTGGGTCTCTCTTGCCACCTGCAGCTCCAATTCTCTGTTAGGTTGGAAACCAGCAAGATCCAGGGTCCTCCAGTCTCTACCCTCCTCAGAGCTGGGTTTACAGCCATATTCCCATGAGGCCAGGTTTGTTACTTGGTTAACAGGATCCAAGATTTCCTCAAGATTTCCCAGCAAACATTCTCCAGAGCCTTAATTTGTTAAAAAACAAACTAACAAAAAAACAACAACAAAATCATTCCTGGTGACATTTCTCTCCGTTTTATGTCAATTTTAGGACGATCCTAAGAGGACATGGACATTACTTAAATGGGTCTAAAATGAGCAGGTCTGTCTGTGGTTAGGAAGCCTTATCTTTTTTTTCATTATAAACTTTGTTTTCCCTTCGATAGTGCCTTGCAGTCTCTTAAACTCACCAGTGAGCAGCAGACAGAATAGAAACTAGCACTTAAGTGAAATTCACATTTCCTTCTGCTAATTGTACACTTCGAGTATTCCATCTTTTAGCAGGACCCTTCTCTAATACTAAAGTGCTCAAGGATGGGCTCAATGTTCCCCTTGTCAGATGTAGTTTGGCCCAGGGAGCAACATGCATGTCTAAGTCTCCCACAAGACTAGTCCACCGAAGGGAAAAAGAAGGCTTTTCCCGCAACGAAACCTAGACTAGATCACCTAGGATAGGGAGGCGAGAAACTAACAAGTATGGCTCGGGGCACAAGGTTGCACGACCGGAGCAGGACTGCTTTGGATATTTCGGGAACGTCTCCCAGACTCAAACTCGGATTGTGGTTGAGTGTGTACCGCAGGAGTGAGCAATCATTGACCTCCTCTCCCAGCCAACCTCACAGACTGCTGCAGGTCTGCGCCGGAGAGCGCAAACACAAAGCTGACCAAGTGAAATGAAAAAGATCAGGAGTACAAACTGTTCTAGTGTCTACCTGGGGCTCCGGACTTAGGAGCGACAGGAGAGAGAAGCAGCTCTTCCGGGAGCCAACCAGTTCACCTAGCGAACCTTTTCAAAGAACGCTCAGCCCCTGCGGACTCGCGGACAGAGCCCTGATGTCTACCCTCAGTCAAAATGGCGGCCACGGCGTCTATGCGAACGGCGCACGCGCGGCCCTTCGCACCACCCTCCTCCGGTCCTGCGACCGCCACCCCTCCCACTCGCCAGCTGCAGCACTCTACGCGTCCCCAGCCTCACCCCTTTTTGGCGGCCCCCCTCCTGTCCAGGCTGCCGAGCCCGGAAGTGGATGTGGCCGCTTAGCATAGAAGACGAGGGGGAGGGAGAAGTGCTTCCGGGGAAACGGGCCCCGGGTTGGTGTTTGTAAACTTGCCTCGGTCCCGGCGCGGGCAGCGGCGGCCGCGGACTTGGCACCGGGTGCTTGGGGCCTGGAGGAGGCGCCGCGCGGCGGAGGAGACGGCGAGAGGCCGCGCCTGGCAGGTAGGCGCGCGCCGCGGGGAGGCAGCGTCGAGCAGGCAGGCGGGCGGCGGCGCCTAGGCAGCTCGCAGGCCGTGGGGCCCCGCGCGCGCGAAGGGGGAGGGGAGCGCAGCGGAGGAGGGGCGCGCGGCGAAGGGAGGGAAGAAGGGGGCCGCGAGGGGAGGGCCGCCCCCGCCCCGCCCCGCTTCCCCCCTCCCCGCCGCCGCCGGGGTGAGGGGGCTCGCTGGGAGGGGACGCGGGCACGAGCAGGAGCGCGCAGGTCGCGCGCGGCTCGGCGGTCCCGGGCTCTACTCCGGGTCCGCGCGCTGCGGCTGCTCGTAGAGAGCATGCTCGCCCTCCACCTCCAGCCCTAGCCCCAGCTCCAGCTCCTCCGCAGCGAATTTACGTACCTTCGGGCAGACTCGGAGTAACGCTCACCTGTGGGCACTGCCAGTCGGCCCGGCTCAACGGTGGCCCCCGAGCTTCCCTCCAGCACGGTCGTGCCAGCGTCTGTGGAGTGCCAGCTTTGCAGGCCGGCCCACTCCGCACAAAAGCCCCAGAGGGCCTCCGCCCCCTTCTTCCGCTCCTAAGATGGCAAATCGGAGCACTTACTCTGTTGGCAGGTTCTCTTTATAAGAGACCCAACTTACTTATACTCCTGTTGGCTGCTCCTCTTGGCCCAGAAGGCCAGTTTCTTCTACTGACCTAGAAACAAAGCTCTTGACTCATGTCCTCCTTTTGAGCTTCAGAACACGCAGCAAATTAAGTTGAGAGAGTGTCACTCGTCGTATGGCCTTAGGATGTTACACTTAAAGGCTTCATCTCCCTTTCTGGTTTCAGGTTCCTGGAGCAGACCTAGAACTTCACCAAGAAAATTCACCTGGGAAACCAAGACTGATAGACTTTCATTCCTTCAGACAATAGGCAGAAGTCAGAGACCTCAGATTTTTGCAATACCTGTTTTCCCTTTGGAGGACACTAAATTCTTTGAGAAGACAAAGACAGTTCAATATGGCAACTGAACTCAAAGAACAGGAAGGAGCCATTACTGTGATTTGGTGACAGTTCTTCAAACAACTTAAGGAAAGCTGGATAAAGAACTTCTGAACTTTTGGGTTCGTTAGGTGAAAAACCAGCATGGCTCAGGTAAAAAGTTCACTCTAGAGTCCTCCTTCAAGATCATTCACTGGGAAGCCTGTTTGCAATGTCACTCTTGAATTCTGCCTTAGTCAACAGTATTGACCATCCCCAGTGAGCCGAGCTCTGTATTAAACACCAGGGGGAGATCTAGAGGAAGGAAAGGAGACAGGCCTCCCTGCCTTCAGGGAGCTTCCAGTCAAATGAAGGAGGTAGGCTATATACCACATCACAGGCACTGATGGGCCATTGGCAAAGCACCTTGTACTCAGGGTACTTCTGGTACGTGGAGTATTTGGGCATAAGGGAGTGAGTAGTCTGGTGAATGCTTCATTTGTTTTTCTTTTTCAACAGGAATTTTATTGAGCTCCTGTTCCATGCAAGGCATTGTGCTTGGAATACAAAGATGAATAAGATTGTCCTTGTCCCCAGTAAGCTTCCAGGCTAGTTGGGGGGAGGGGAAGGGATGGAAAGACAGTCTATTACTTATTTTTATATTCACAATGCCTTGCATAAAGGGCTGGCTGATAGCAGAACCTCTCCATCTGTTGATTTAAAGGTGTTTGCAATGATAGAAGGATGATGCTGCAAAGTGGAACTTCTGCCTGGATGGGAAAAAGAAAATGACTTTTGAAGGATGCATAGGATTTTGCTAGATAAATAAGCAGAGAAGGGCATTCAGACAGAGGTTTAGAGGCTGGGAAGATGTGATGAGGTTCAGGGTACGACAGGTGGTTAGATAGTTAGGGGGCAAAGGGTTAAATGGGACATCATTGGAGACACAGGGTTCATAATGATAGATGGGGGAGTTTGTTTTCTGGAGAAGTCAGCAGAGTGTGGCCCAAGGGCATTTTGTGCCTTCCTGAGGAATTAGATGTTATTCTCTAGTGAGTAGGAACTGTATAAAGAATGTTAGACAGCAGAGTAATGTCTTCAGAAGATAGTTGTTACTTTGAAGATGGGAGATTGGAAGGACAAGATGGCCAGAGGGACTTACTGCTATAGTCTTCTGAGTGGAAAGCTGCATGCTTCTCTGAGCTTTCTTTGAGGACACCTCCTGTACCAGTCTCACAAGGATGGCAGCCTGATTGTGGTAGGATTGGCTCTCTTCCAAGAGCTGCATCGTGAACAGCTACCTCCAGGGCAGAGTAGAGCTTTTGGATTTCATGTTTCTTTGTCTATGTGCAGCTAGGTTAACAGCGTGGTGTTGACTGTTCTGCTAAAGCATTTTACATCAGTCTCTCGACCCTGTGAGGGTAGCCATTCTATTCTGACAGGCATTTCACATTTGAAGAAAGCAAGGCTTCAAATGTAGAGACTTGCCCAGAATTACACAACCCAAACAGCAGAGCTAAGATTTTTAACTTTGGACTATCTTGAGTAGGAAAAGTGTATGTTCTGGAGTACTAGTTTAATAAAGTCAGTTCAAGGACTGTGGTGGTAAAAAGGGGTTATTTTTTAAAGCACCCTTGTTTAATGTTTATTAGCTTTATGTAGAGCACACATAAATGAAACAAATTGGAGTGCAAGTGTGGTGGCACATGCTTTTAATCCCAGCACTTGGAAGGCAGAGGCAGGTGCATCTCGGAGTTCAAGGCCAACCTGGTCTGCAAATTAAGTTTCAGGACAGCCAGGGTTACACAAAGAAACTCTGTCTAGAAAAAACAAAATAGGGCCTGGAGAGATGGCTCAGGAGTTAAGAGCACTGGCTGCTCTTCCAGAGGATCTGGGTTCAATTCCCAGCACCCACATAGCAGCTCACAACTATCTGTAACTCCAGTTCCAGGGGATCCAACACCCTCACGCAGATAGATCTGCAGGCAAAACACCAAATGCATGGCCTAAGTGGTAAAAAGAAACTATATATTCAACTCCAGAATTCAGGTGTTTTTCTGTTTGCTGTGACTGACATCACTTCAGAATTTAAAAATCTAAAGTGAAAAACAACCTGATAGAAAATGAGTTGGCACCAGCAAGGTCTACCCATTTGAAAGTGGCTTTGAATCTCAGCACTATTGGGGGTCATGTTGCTTAGCTGTTAAAAGCACTCCTGCTCTTCCAGAGGACCCCAATTCAGGTCCCAGTACTCACATCAGCCAGCTCACAGCTAACTTCAACTCTAGGGTTCTGACACCCCCTTCTGGTCTCCTTGGCCACCTGCCCACATGTGGTACATGCATGTGTTCATACACACACATAAAAATAGTAATAAACAAAATCTCTGTCCCTTCTCTTTCACCACTCCCTTCCCCCAATAAAACCTTCCAAGTAAAAATAAATGAATCAATAAAATTTTAAAAACTAACAGAGTGGTCAGCAGGATGGTTCAGCAGATGAAGGAAACTGCTGTCAACCTGACAACCTGAATTAGCTCCCCAGAAGCCACATGGTGGAGGGAGAGGACCAACTCCTACAAGTACTGCTCTGACCTCCACTGTGATGCTGGCATGAGCACACACAAATAAATAGATAGGTAAATAATAAAAATAAAAGAATTTGGAAGGAGGACATTGCTAGAACGCTTCAACATCTGTGAGTCAGACAGACAAACCTCATACCTACAGTTAAAGCTCAGAAATGCCTTAGGTAATATGTAGCCACACACACTATTTGGTGCAGTAACCACAAGTACTAACTCTGTGTTTCATTGCTGCAGGATGCAAAGGGGGCATTAGTTCTTGGTGAGATGGAAAGGACTTGAAGGAAGCAAGGCTTGACAGTGAGGGAGTTATTCCCTGGAGAGAATTTTGTTGCTGAGTGTAAATTGGTAGATGTGTTGAGGATAGTGGCTTGTTTTTGTCCTGCCCTGCCAGGTGACCTGACACCTCATCTCCTTTCAACTTAGGCAAGTCTTCTGGCTTGTGAAGGCCTAGCAGGTGTGAGTTTGGTTCCCACTGCAGCCAGCAAGAAGATGATGCTGAGCCAGATTGCCAGCAAGCAAGCCGAAAATGGCGAGCGGGCAGGTAGCCCTGACGTGCTGAGATGCTCGAGTCAGGTACAGCACTGGAGTCCTTTGTGGTACTTGGGGGTCAGGTTGCCAGAGCTCCCTGCCAAGAGGCACCAACTGCAATTCCTTCCCGCTTTGTTTTGGTGTTCTGTTTAGGGAAGTGTGGAACTGGGGTCCAGGTGGGAAAGAATGAGTGTGGGTGTTTGGAGAGCTAAGGAAGGTGCTTGTACCTACAAACGCCTAGACCAGGAAAAGCGAAGAGGAAGTGGATTGAGGAGAGGAAGCAGGTGGTTTGCTCTCCTTTATAAACTATCAAGAAACAGCGTTTGGTTTCTCATCTTGTGTTCTGAGACAGACTGTAAGTTTAGATTTGCTTTGTCTTCAAAGGGCCACCGAAAAGACAGTGATAAATCCCGGAACCGCAAAGATGATGACAGCTTGGCTGAGGCTTCTCATTCAAAAAAGACTGTTAAAAAGGCAGGTAATGGGGTCAGCCCCAGACTCATGCAGTTTGGTAATGGGGTCACCTCCTTTTCTTATCATGGTGACTCATGTTTTCCCCCTAGTGAGTTTGTGCCCTGATTGAATCCAGGGTCACTGACAGTTGCTGTCCACCCTTGCTGACCATTCTTGGTACAGGTGGAGATGGATTGTGATGTGTGCTCTTGTAGCAGAGCAGGCCAATCCCAGCTTACTCATCCTGAGTGTTAGCTGGTGCTAGCAGCTGTCTCACCCAGTCCATCTTCCTCCCCTCCTGGCTCTTAGCCTAAGGGATATAACAGGAGACAGCACCTTTCACGGTATCAGAGAGGTTCTTGGCCAGCGGCTCGAATTGGACCCATAGTAGAATAGTCTCTAGGAAGAGGGCAGAGAGATACCTCCATGACATGCCTGATTGTTGCCCCCAGGTGGTGGTAGTGGAACAAAATGGCTCTTTTCAAGTAAAGATTCCCAAAAATTTTATTTGTGAACACTGCTTTGGAGCTTTTAGGAGCAGTTACCACCTCAAGAGGCACATCCTTATCCACACAGGTAAGTCTCTTATCTGTATTAAAGTTTGTGTTCATATGAGGAGAATAGCCTGTAGCTTGTATTCCAGCCAGGTTTGTTTTCTAGGAAAGCATTAGAAATGGAGGCAGAGGATTAGATGAATGATGCAGAGGGATTGCATGGCTTGTGGTTTGCTATCAGTGAGACCACCATTTACATGTTTATGATCACTAAGGTGTCTGGAAGGCTACTGGAATGTATAGTCCCTACCATAAATTTGTCTTGGTACTCACTTCTTTTTTGCCTCTGGGCCAGGTGAGAAACCGTTTGAGTGTGATGTATGTGATATGCGTTTCATCCAGAAGTACCACCTTGAACGCCACAAGCGTGTACATAGTGGTGAAAAGCCTTACCAGTGCGAACGATGTCATCAGGTAAGGTTTGCCTACCATCCACCCTGGAACAGCAACACATATAAATTTTTCCTTCTCCAAGAAGTAGGGCCAGAAGCTTGGCAGTGGTGGTGTATGCCTTTAGTCCCAGCACTTGGGAGGCAGAGGCAGGAGGATCTCTGAGTTCGAGGCCAACCCGGTGGTCTACAAAGCTACACAGAGAAGCTCTGTCTCCAATAATGGGGGGGGGGACAACACGAGAGGACGACACGAGAGAGACACACACACACACACACACACACACACACACACGACAATGGTGAAGGGCCAGTCTTTTCCTGGCTAACAGAGGGGCCTCCACAATACAGTTAGCACCTCAGAAAGAGGCGCATCTCTGGCCTTATGAGGCTAACCATGGGGAGTGCTTGTTAGAATGTCATATTATCATTTATTTTTATTTGGTTTGGTTTAGATGTTTTTGTTTTCATTTTGTTTTGTTTTCCCTCAAACAGGGTCTCACTACATAGCTCTGGCTGTCCTGGAACTCACTATGTAGACCAGGCTGGCCTCAAACTCATAGAGATCTGCCTAATAATATCATTTCTTGAGTTCCTATTTTATGCCAGGTACTGTGCTGGGCATATTTTGACCTCATTATCTCCTTAGGGTAGCTCTGTTGTCCTCATTTCACATAATGGGGAAATTGAAGTTCAGGAAGTTAACTTTCCCCACACGGTAAGTAAAAGTACAGTAGATATTTAGTCCAAATTCAAAGCATCTGCACTGTGGAGGAAGCAATGTCATCTCTGCCCGGGGGGTCCGGTATCTGATCTGATAAGAATGTAAGTGTGAAGACCAGGCAAGACAAGAAAGGAAATGAGAAGTGATAGCAACTGACATTTCCTGGATGCTCTGTTCTCTCTTAACACTGAAGTCCACAATTACAGAGAATCTTTAGAATGCTAGGATGAGAGCTGCTACTGATGGTGATGGCATGTGGCCCTAACCCATTGTCCAAGAGGCATCTTCTACTGCCATAGAAAGTTTGAGTCCAGACTGCACAGTGTGAGCTTTTGTCACAAAGCCAAAACACTAGAATGCAACGCCATGAGGGACCTGAGTTTGGTAGCACACGTCATAATCCTAGCACTCAGGAGAAGCAGAACAAGAGGATCACAAGTCTAGGCCAGCCTCAGTTAAGCAGCAAAGCCTGTCTCAAAGAAATATAAGGTTTTCCACCCTGTCCTTGGGCCCAAAAAGTGTACACACCTTAAGATAAATATGTCATGAGAAGCTAGTGGTGTGCATCTCAGTGGTGAGTCTTGCCAAGTATGTCTTCCCCTTGGGGTTGATCACCATTCTGACAAATGAAAATTTGATGGAAGCAGCTACACTGTGTTGGATGCTGTAACCTGGTCCTTCAGATAAACACAGGTTTGGGGCTATTAGGTAATTTGCTTATTGTCACATGACTAAATGACAGAACCAGCATTCCAAGCCCAGGCCCTCTGCTCCAGCACTGGCTTGTTAACATTTAGTATTGTGTACATAGTATAGCACAAGTGTGGCGGTCAGAGGAGCTCCTTCTATTATGTTGGTTCTAGAAGTCAAACTCAGGTCATCAGGCTTGGCAGCAAGGGCCTTTACCTGATGAGCCATCTCATCATCCTCCCCACCTCCCCTTTTTTGAGATGGGGTCTTAGGTAGTCCACACTGGCTTCCAACTTTATGTGTAACCAAGGATGACCTTGAATGTTTGGTCTTCCTGCCTTCAGCTCCCAAGTACTGGAATCAAAGGTGTGCACCACCATGCCCAGTTTATAGGGTATTGAGTATCAAATCTGGGGCTTCGTGTGTACAACAAAAGCAGTCTACCAGCTGAGCTGCATCCCTGGCCCCTACAACCAGCATTGGTTCTTGTTTGTTTGAGACAGGGTCTGTCTACATAGCCTTGGCTGTCCTAAAGCTCACTATGTAGACCAGGCTAGACTCAGACTCACAGAGATCCATCTGCTTCTCTGCCTCCTGAGTTCTGAGATTAAGGGCATGTACCACCATACCCAGCAGCATAGATGTTCCTACTGTGCAGATGCTGAGGGGACAAGAACATAGCACAGCCTTCTCTTCGAGGAAGGAACCTACTAACAGGCAACTAAATTTCTCTTGGAGCTTACTCCTCTCACTCTCTTCACAGTGTTTTTCTCGGACAGACCGACTACTCAGACACAAACGGATGTGCCAAGGATGCCAGTCCAAGACATCTGATGGTCAGTTTTCTCTATAGACACGGGAGCCCTAGGTGGTGGGAGTGATGAGAGGAGTCCACCCAAGAGCACGCCCCTCTGCTCTGTTGGCCCCACCACCGCTCCCTCTGAACCTGTCCCCCTTCCTGGAGGAGTGGCCCCAGGTGAGCAGAAGAGAGAGCATCAGAGGACAGCAGCTCCAGAGCCTCAGCTCTGTAAATAGTCTGTGACTATGCGTATCTCGGGAAAGTTCCTACGGCATTCCTGGGCAGGGGAGCTGGTCCCTGGACCCTTAGCTGAGGTCATAGGTGGGGACTCAAAGGTACAGGACCAAGACTCAAGTGTTCCCACAACCTTGGACTGGAACTGGCAGCTGAAACAAAAAGGACTGAGGAGGGGCATTTATTTGTTCTGCTCTTGTTTTTGTTTATCCAAAAGCAATTACAGCAGGTAAACAGAGGACACAGGTAATCTGGAGATGCAAAGTCCTTTTAAGCAAAGCAAGGACTGTGGCTGGTCCAGCCATTTTTTGTTACCGTAGGCCTTTGGTGTTCCACATCCCTGCTTGGGCTGGCAGCTCAGCTTACTCGGACTTCTTAAACACTGTGAGGACAAAAGGAGAAACATGGGGGGGGGGGGCGATGGGGTTGGACAAGAAGAGTGGGCATACCTTTTTATCTCCTCACGAAGAGCAGTGTTGTGCCCATGGGTGCTCTCGTGGTTTACACAACACCTTTGTCAGATGGGGTCAGCTCAAGTGCCTTTTGGAGGAAACTTGGGTGGGGTAGCCCGTGCAGCTCTTTTTTCTGGGCAGTTGGTCTTGGTTATAGTTTGTGGCTACCTCACTGTCCTTGACTCCAAAAACCAGGCAGCAGTTGAGCAGGGAGTTGTGGGCATTAAAATGTGCTGTCTTAGAGCAACCAGGGATAGTGCAAAGTTTGCTAATGACTGTTAGAGGAGCAAGCATGGTGGCCCTGATGTGACTTGTGTGATAGAACCCCTTCCTGCCAAGTCCTGTGACTGTATTCAAGTAGTTGGAGTGAAAGTCTGGTCTTCAGTCCCAAAGAACATGATCTTGGCACAGAGGAAGGACACATAATGTCTGTTTTATTCTTGACTTTACTCTGTTCTAGACCTCCATCTTGTCTACCTTAAAAGAGCGATGAGGTGTGCGTCTCTGTCTGATTTGTCAGTGATGTATGTGTTTGCTTGGAAGGGATGAAAATTATTGAGCCAAATTTATTCAGCCACCAACTTTAGAGGACTGAAAGCATAGAAAAGCCTCCCTGCCCAGACCTGAAGGGTGCCTGCCTCCCAGAGGTTGCTGAGAACAAAGGAAATGAGGGGTTTTGTTCCAGAAGAATTTTTTGGGTTTTTGTTGTTTAGATCGATTGAACAGTGAGCTTCTTAAGAGTGTGTCTAAGCCAAGGCTTATGGACATGTATTTTCTAAAGTGAAATAACTCCCTTCCCGATAAAGAAAGGATCCTCAAGGGAGGTTTTGAGATTCCAGTGAGCACTACCCCACCCCAGGGGACTTAATTCAGGTGTAATCATGGAGACTGACTTGAGCACACACATAACTGTAGCTGTGGGTAGGAATCAGAGATGGCAGCCTCCAAGAAGAAGTTCTTGCCTAACAAAGAGGGCCAGGCAGCAACATACTATTGGCTATGACCTCTTCCAGTATGTTGAGGGATGGTACCTCATACCTCTTGGGTTGAAGTACTTCAGGGAAAAAGAAGGGAAGATGTTGCAACCTTCACCTTGACAATGACAGCACCTGAGAGCCTTGGGTGAAGTGTCTGAGGCATGTTCACTGCCATGTGTTCTAGCTTCGTGCTGTCCCCACTGTTTGACATGCTCTAAAACCTGTGCCCCAGTCCTTGATCCATCATGTGATCTCTGGCATCTTTGTGCATATAAAACAGATCCTTTCAAGTTAGGGGATTCTGCCGGGCTGGGATTTTTTTGTCATTCAACTTCCGGAAAGGATTATTCCTTTCCTAAATACTTTTGGGAATGGGAACCCTCCCTGCTGCTTGAAGATGATCTGTTTGTGAGGAGAGGTAGGAGAGTGACCCATGTTTCTACATGTATGAATGTATGTACTGGGTCACGGCAGGCCCTGTAGACGTTGGCTTCCTGCTGAGTGAAAGCTGGAAGAGAACTTGGGAATGTGTGTATAGATGGCCCAACCAGAACCATACTGCCAAGGCCTGGGGGTGAGAATCTCAGACTGACAGTGTGGTTGAGAACAGACAAGCTCTGGGGGACACCCAAGGGCCCAGGAACCACATCTCTACCCCAGGGAAACCACAGACGGCTGCAAAGGCTCCTGGGCCTGACGCTGCACCTCTCCCGAGGTGGTGTGCTAGCACTGGACAGATGTCTCAGGTGTGTGTAGAGGGAAATGAAAAGAGGGCAGGTGCTCAGAGATGAAAATGTGAATGTGGGGTTGGGTGGGGAGAGTAATCCCAGTCCCTGGGTGGCTCCTGCACCAGCCCTGCCAGCCTGCCCTTGCTGGTACCCGCCCTTCCACCCATCCCCACCAGCCTCCTGTCACCACTTAGCTACTGATTGTGCACCATGGCTTGATCCATGGAGGGTTAGATGAGTGGCGTTCCGCCACAGGTTCACCCTCTCCCAGTTCCTTCTGCCTCTGCTGTGGCCCTGGGCTTTTATCTTCAATTCCCTCCTACCATGCTCCACTTTTTTTTTTTTTTTTAAATATACTTATTTTGCTATGGGGGAGGGGACTATCAAATGAACAAGATCACTTTTAAATGGTAGTTTTTATAAGATGTTATAAACTTGTATCTTTTTACCATGAAAGTGCAGTGTATGTTCCTTCGTGATATATTTAGGATATTTAAATAAAAAGAATGGCTCTTTTCTACAATCCATCTCCTCTTTGAGAAGACTTGATGTGTTGGGGGCACTTTACCACCAAAGGCCAGAGTGGTTTTAATGGACTCCTTTCCTATGTAACCACCCTACAACTTGTAACAGGGCAAACTGTCCTGTTAAAACACCTTCTCTCCATAGAGAGCAACAAGAAGAGGCAAAAGGGTATCATTTTTGCTGAAAAAAAGGCTTACAACAGCCTGACAAGATGAGGTCTGAGTCTGTCTAGGTAAGGTCCCTTAGAAGGTGATAGATAACTCCAACATCAGCATCACCTGATATCCAATGGCCCAGGTGTTCCCGGGTCACACAACACAAACACACCTGTCCTCCTGTGACCTGAGACCTGGGCTAGGCTAGGCGGTCTGCTTTTGTTTTGTTTTTTTGTGGGTTTTTTGTTTTGTTTTTCTTCGGGTGAAGCAAAGTGGAGGCTGTAGTCTGAGGCAAGGCTTTATTATGGGAGAACCCTTCATGAGGTAGGGAATGGTCACAGCTGTGGGAAGCAGCCCTCTGACAGGCCCTGCCCTGCTGTCCCCCCCCCCCCCCACTGTCTCCAAGAGAAGAATCCTGAGAGAGTGCTGCCTGGGTCAGAGAGAGGGACCAGGACCGTTTGTTCCTTGGAAGCGGGGGTTGATAGTGGTTGTGATGGCACTTTTGTAGAGAGGATTGCTATCCTGTGGAAAAACATTGTGAGCTGTAAGGAAAATAGGCTCTCCCCATTGCCTAGAACTGTTAGGCCAACCTAGAACTTAAGTCAAATTCTAGACGGCCTGGTTATACTGAGGGAGGGACATGGGTGGGGGAGCTTCGTAGCTGGTTACAGGTTAGGGAAGAGAACCCACCAGGGAAGTCGAGTAAGGAAAGCCTAGCCTGTGGTAATAGGAGCTGGCCTCACCTGCTTCCAGTTGAGTTGCTGCCTCTCCTTCTCAAAGCGGCTGTACTCGCGGCGATCGTAGATTTCAACAGAGAGCCGATAAGCCAGGACTAGCCCTAGTCCTGCTGCCACAATGCCGCCTATGCAGCCCAATATGATGGTACGGGTGTGATCTACTCCCTCTGGTGGGCCAAGGTGGAAGAGCTGATCCACAGTTAACCAAAGAGTGTCCAGCCTCCCCTCCCTGTCACTAAAACCAGGACCCAGCAGAGCCCAAGGTTGTCTGCCTTCCTAGGACCTTAGTCTCATCCCCTTGCCCTAGGTTTGCAGCTCCACTTCAAACTCATTGCCCTTACTTTCATTCACATCCCTAATTCTGAGGCTCTGCGCACTTACTCTCTTGGGGTCTCACTCTGAGTATGACTCCTTCAGCCACATTCTCCACCAGGAAGAAGAACAGCTGGTTGTCTAGTGTCCTCTCTTTGCACCAGCCATCATCCAAATTAGGGACCGAGGCCAAGGTCACGTTCACATCGGCACAGGCCACACTGCAATTGGCTGCCAGGGAACCAGTGCCAAAGGCCCCACACTCTGCACAATCCCTGTCCAATGAATGTCAGTGAGTTCCCATCTGGGCAGCACCCCAAGGAGAGCAGGCAGGCAGGAGTTCTTAGCAAGCTCACTGTGTCCCAACTCCCAAGATGAAAGACTCGAGGCCTCACCTGTATTGCTCACATGGTGACTTGCAGCCGAGGCACTGGTCACACAGAGCCCCATAGTAGCCATCCTGGCACTGGCAACGGTTGCATTTGCAGTGTCCATGCCCGCTGCAGAGCCCTCCTTTGGGACTGACACAACTGTCCACATTCTCACTACACTCACATGCTTTGCCCGTGCGGTTGGCGTGACAGTGACACACTCCACATTGGCAGTGTCCAAAGCCTGAGGAAGAACCATGCACAGGGTGGTCACCATTCTCACACACAGTTGGCCCAGCATGCCACTATAATCCATCTCAGCTGTGCCAGGCACGTCCTCTACCTCATACCACAATCTCTGAAATTTGCCCTCAGTGTCTAGGATGCCCTCTTACCCCTCTCTTCTCCCAAAAACTCTAGGTACCTCCACAGAGGATGCCCTCATGCCGTTCACAGCTGGCATCATCACACTCGCACAGACGCCCAGAGCTCTGTCCGCTGCAGCTGCAACGTCCACATTGACATCGTCCCTTCCCGCTGCATAGGGGCCCTGTCCCATTGGAGGCCCGGCAGCCAGATTCCAAATCTGGAGAGGACAGTTCAGCCTCAGAGCACTCACATAGCTGACCAAGGCGGCCAGGGGCACAGCTGGGAAGGGAAAGCAGAGAGATGGGTCAGTTTGACCATGTCTGGCCTGTCTCTCAAGAGCCTCTAGGCCAGTGATTCTCAATCTGTGAGTAGTGACCTTTGAGGGGTTGCATTAGACCATGGGAAAACACAGATAGTTACATTACAATTCACAACAGCAAAATTACAGCTGTGAAATAGCAACAAAAATCATTTTATGAATGGGGGTCACCAAAATAGGAGGAACTATTAAAAGAGTCATAGCATTAGGAAGGTCGAGAACTACTACTATAGGCCCATGTTCTCAAGGGAGACGGTTAGTGTACCAAGGGTAGAGTGAGGGAAGAGTGGAGGGATTCTGGTCAAGGTGAAGGCCTTGGCATATATGGGAAACTTCTTCGGGTCATGACATTCAGGTGGAGTCATAAGATGTGTAGGACACTCCAGGAGGCAGAAAGCAAAGGAGGGGGACTACAAGGAGAGGGTCACGGGAGCTAATGGAAGGCATAAAGCCAGCCCTCACC